GCTTATGCAGAGTTGTTTTAGTGATTTTTGAAGCTCTTGTTGTTGGAATAGCAAATGCTGCATTGCATTTCAGGAAGATATGGCTTGAATGCTGTTTTCTCTCCACAGTAGTCAACAGTTTAGGGTGGTATCCTGTGCCTGTTGATGCTGGGAGTTTTACAGTTCTTAGAGCCCTTACCAATGGCCAGCTGGGAAGCACAGTTTCCATTCTGCAAAGGGTTGCATGCTTTAATTGGTACCTTGATCTACTAGAGCTGTAATCCTATCAGTATTAATTCAGAATAAGTCCTGCTGAATGTCATAGAATGTTGTTCCAAAAAGATAGGAAACTGGAGCATCCAGCCAGGTGTTGTCAACACTGATTGCCAGCAATTCTGCATGATTTCAGGAAGGGTTCTTGCTTAGTCCTACCCGAAACAGAGATGTGCTGATACAAGGAAGTCCAGCTTGTTTAAACTGGATGGATTTCTGATGATCAGAAGTGAATTGGATTTATTCCCAAGGACTTCCACCTCTAAGCCAGAGTGCAGTTTGCAAATTTTTAAAAGCAATGCTAAAGAAATTCGCGCAAATTTAGCATGCATGTGTGCAATTTGTACAAATCATTATTTGTGTTACTCGCAGAAATTGGAAGTCTGAAACTAGGAAATAGTAATGTTGCTGATTTGATTTGCACAAATTGTGCTAGAATTGCAATCCCATTTGTACAAAAATCATGATTTGCACAATTTTCCTTAGTGTTTCAAAGAAACCAGAAAAAAGTGCACAGCATGGTTTATCTTAAAAATGGGAGCCCGTGAGCTGACTCAGCTTGCCTAACAGTGCAGCACTAGTGGAGTGATAAACTGAAATCTGAGGGACTTTCACACATATACCCAACAGATTTTTCACATATCTCAACCTGCCAATGCTGTGGATTAAACCTGGGATCTTATGGAAGCAAACCAGGTGACCTGCCACTGAACTACAGCTCCTCCTAAACCTAACTAACCGTCTGGTTTGAGCCTCATCTGTTTCCTTCTCCTGCAGCCCCAGATCCACTAGCTAGCCTGGGGAGCAAGGCTGCATGTCCCTTTGTATGTCAGAAGAGTGCAAGTGCCAATAGACCTAACAAACAGGCATGGGATGATGGGAGCTGGCGTCCAGCAACATCTCAAAGAATGTGCATTACCCATCTCCCTGGTACACTATTCCATTTTGGATGGAGCACTATTCCAAGGTGGAGTTAAAAAAAAAAGCTCTGTACATTATGGAGCCTGCCAGTGGCATGTTTGCTCACCCACTCACCAGAGTCAAGGACTATGACACCCAAAGCTGATTTAAGGTCTTGCTAGGCAAGTCATCAGCTCCGCACACATGATTCCTTGCTCACGGTAGTTTTCAGGTGCCTTATTTGATGGCCTCTATTGTGCTTTCCCAGCATTTCTTCAGCTTTTTTTAAGGATCAAGAAAAGGATAGCATTATCTAGAAATGGTGAAATAAATCCAAGCAAGAAGCTCATGTATTTTTGTGGTTCTGCTGTCCTGCAGCAGCAGCACCATGGGAATGTGCAGTGGATAATACAGAAAGGCGGAAAAGGAAGCCCCCGCTTCCAGGGGAAAAGAAGTCTTAATCCTGCAAAGAACCCACAACCAGAAGCTTTGTAAAGTGGTGGGTAAAAAAACACCCGTTTGTGAAGCCTCACATTATTTTTTCTCCAGGTACAGTAATCCCACAAGCACCTCTCCTCTTCCCTGCCACTAAAAATACAACGGTACATTGAATAACCAACAATTTGCTGTCCTTTCAGCACATCCAAAACTCAGCTGTCTGGGACTGCCACCTCCATATACCTAATGGTAGGGCCAGCCCTGTTCGCAGTAACTCTAAGGCAGAGGAAATGATAGTTTTTCATGGCTGGATATGTGTTTTGACCTATGTAATTTCAGCAGAATGAAATTCCACCCAAAGGTGTAGCTCTTGCAGAAAAAACAGTGTGCACCCAACTGGCATTGTGTGGAGCAACATTGCTGAGGATATTATTTAGCAAAGATTTTTCAAACGGCATGCCTAGGAAATCTTGGTTTCTTCAGAAGGTTAGCATGGAATTCATGGATGAAAAGATGAGTAATGGCACACTGTCCTGATCCCGCCCACCAGTTATGTGTCTCTCTCTGCTGGGTGCAGCTGCATGCAAGGATTCCTATCCTGGAGGGGAGCTTATGGCACCATGGTTTCTGTTCATCTCCTGTGCTGAAGTCCTTCCACTTCTGAGTAAATTCACAGTTGCTTGTATATATTTCTTTCCGACAAATGCACATGAAGAAACACGTACTGGCATGTGCCCCTTTTATATGTTGCATACATTCTGTTTTTCTTCTTTCATTAAATATCGAGTTCAGACTGCTTTACTGTAGATATTCTACAAACATATTGGATATAGACTAAGGGTTATCATTAGCAATTAAAAAAAATCTTTAGGGAGCAATTCCATATCCCTTTGTCCACATTAGAGGGGCTGTAAGACGTTTCTGATTTCCAGATCCAAGTTCACAAACAGTGCTGGCTTTTCTCCAGGACTGGGAGAGCAAATGGGGAGACGGGGAGCAGGGCATTTTGGTGGGCGAAGAAGGGAAGATAGTGGGCAGGCCAGAATAGGGGCACCCCCAGCACCTCCCCAGCCACTGCCCTCCTGTCTGTTCAGTGCAGACTGGGACAACAAGGCTTTTGTGTTTGGAGGCATGTGATTATTGCAATGGGATTGTGCCCTTCACGATTTATTATTATGCATGGTCACCTTTTTGTTGCCCTTATCTTGACCTTATTTCCAAACAAAATAACGTCTCATCAGACATGCATACAGACGGAAGAGTGCTGATTGTGTGCGTTATTTTAGTGCAGCAGCCTTCAGCATTGTCTGACCGGGACCTGCCTTTTAGCACCAACTTGCCACAGTGACCAACTTTTCCCTTTTCCTAGTATATGCTTGCATGCAGATGTGGGCATGGGTGTGTTTCTGTGCAACACAAATGCACACATATATCTTTCTACTTCCATCTAGCCTAGGATTCAGCAAATTTCAGCCTAATTTTAAAACCCTCTGCAAAATCAAGTCAGACCTTGGACAAGATCATTCTGTCTCTTCCCTTTCAGTGTGCTGCAGGTGGGGGGGGGGGCAAAGAGAGGGAAGGGGTTGTCAGAGCCCCTAGCAGAAAACAGGCTGGCATTGATTGATGGGCTGGGATCTACTGATATTTGCAGAAGATGGTTATTGTTACTGCTATTTGAAGAATCCATGATCAGTTGTAGTTTGGTGTAGGTTTGCACTTGACTGTGCAGGCCAGCCCAGTTATATACAGTAGCTCACGGGGGTGCCAACTTCATTCAGCCCACGGGTGAACTTCAGATCTGGGGAAGCTCCAGTTGTGGGCAGACAAAGAAGCATTGGGGTAGGCCAAAATAACCCCACCTCAAAAAAAGGCACCAGCATCTTGTAGCTGAAAGTTCTTCCTCCCAGCATCTGAGCCCTAAAAGAAGCCTTTCAGCCTTTTGGGGTGTGGGGAAAGTGTTTGAAAACTAGGGAAAGACCAAATGATCAGAGGTTGGGGAAGGGGGTCATAGGATCCAGGGAGGCTTGGAGGTTCAGTGCTCCTGCAAAAGGCAACACATTCTGAGCCCGGGGCTGGTTCCTGTTGGTGAGCCCGGAGTCCTTGTATAAAAAGGAAAAAGTAGATCAGGTAAGGCAGAAATCTCCTAACTCCTCGAATAAGTGGCACTCACTGTGCGAGGACAAAATGTTTTCAAGATATTGACTGCACACAGCAGGCACTTAGTACTGGTGCCACACACACATGTATGCCATTAGTCGCCTGAAATATGGCCACGGCATATGTGAGAGATCATCTCCTCTCCACTGGCCCATCAGGATCCCCAGGGTCAGCAGAGAACACCGTTCTGTGTTCCCAGCCATGTGCCAGAACAAGGCAGATGAAAGGCATAGACAGTGTCCTTGGATGCTCTGTGCCTGGGGGACATCCCGGAGCACTTCTCATCTTTGCATGCAACAAGTAGTGGTGCAAGAAGGAAGCAGAAGAAATGCAGTCCTCTCGATTTCGCTGCATCATACTCTTGGAAGAGGGAACTTGGATGTGCCCTGGGTGCCATCCAGGGCACATATCTCACTATCACAGCTGGTGGCAGTGAGATATGGTGGGGTCGTATGGTGGATCCAAGGGGAACCCACTTCTCCCTTCAATGGGAGCCATTATGCTGCAGCAGTTTCAGAGTCCGACTGAAAGTCAGGAGACCAGGAGAAATCCTTATTTCTCTGTGAAAATCATGGGATGACTTTGGGCCAGTCACTGACTCACTGCCTCACCTGCCTCACAGGGTTGTTATGAAGAGAAAATGGAGAGGAGGAGGACTGTGTAGGCCACTGTGGGTTCCTTGCAACAGGAAGATGTGGGATATAAGTACAACAATAATACTGCTTTACAGTAAAGGAGTAAGTTACTCTCCAATTTTTTGCAACATCCAGTGCATGAAGCTGCCCCTTCCAGTAGTTACAAAAACTTGTTTCTACAGACAGCGAGAAACATTGAATCTGTTGGAGCTTTGAAGGCTTTAAACATCTGTTTTGTTTTAGTTGCTTTAATGTATTGTTAACAGGATGGTTTATAGTTGATTTTAACCTCTGTTTATTCACCCCAAGCTTTTGGAGCTAACGGAGCTGTAAATTCAAGAATTAGATGGAGTACTGTCCTTTTGTGTTCCCTGTTAATTCATCAAAGAGCCGCACGAGGTCCAAATCCAGGAATGTAACCAAATATTTACAAGAAAACTTCCCATTTAATCTTGGTTGAGATGATGTGCTTAAAACCATTGATTGCCATGAGTACAACTGAGCATGCTGTAAGGATTTGCAGCATGACTTTTAGCAAAATAAATAAAAAATAAACACGCCCTGTGAAAAGAGCACAATGGAATTCTAATAATAAATATTTGCTTCCTTCAACTGCAGATTGATTTGGAGCCAGAAGGAAGAGTGTACGTCATCATAGATCTTTCAGGCTCATCAGGTGAAGGTAAGGAAGCTGGATATTATCACCTTCCCATGTAAATACCCATTTACGGTACATCCAAGACCCTTTGCTCTGAAGATATTTTATTTATTTATTTAGTAAACTTCTATGCTGCCCCATTCGCCGAAACATACATAAAACAATATAATTGGATATGAGTCTTTCTGTGTATAATAAGGGAGCCAGTTCAATGAGTCGCTGCCTGTGATGTTTATGTGTATCCAGCACATACTTGCAGCACCCACAGGCTAATTCTACTCCTTGTTGTCCTTCTTTCCAGTTCATCGGGAATAATGTGTTATCATGAAGTACTGTAGCCTTCCCTTGTTTTGTACAAAGTTCCCATCATCCCCAGACAATGGTGGCAGTTGGGGATGGGGTGATTGGAACAGTTGTCCAACATTTCTGGAAAGCATCAAGCTGGGGAAAGGTGAAGATGAGTGCAAAAAAAATAGAAGTATCCACCCAGGTTTAATGAGAAAGAGAACTTGAAGTGCTAGGACATACACCTTTCTTTTCAATGTGTTGGCCCTCTTGTTTATTGCTCTTGCTTATTCCTAATTTTAAGAAACCTGATTGTGTGCATTGTCTCTTTTCTAGCCTGTAGAGAAAGCCCCTTAAAACAACAGGGCCAAAATGCATTAGGCTTTATTGAATATTATTTCTATTTTTCCTGAGATGGGTTCTTTTTCTGTTGATTGACCATTGTTTTCTGGCATAATCCTATATATGTTGGCTCATAAGTAAGTCCCATTTTGCTCAGTGAGATTTACTTTCAGGTAAATGGATACAGAATTGCAGCCTTAATGTCTTCAAACGGGGGAAATGGCAACCTTCTGACCCAGTGGTTGCTGTTCCATGACTTCTTGTGCAATAAGAGTAGGAAAAAAAGGTGGGAGCAGCTAATGCCATTTGGTTGACTCCCGGGAAGCCCTCCCCAACCTTTGAAAAATGTAGAATGTATGCCTGCCTACTCTTATCCAAAGGGGGCAGGTGAAAGTGGAAGTTCTGGCTTTCTTCCATGGAGAAGAAAATCTGAACATCAAATAGCGGAACAATGGGCAATGGTTAGTACATTAGCGCGGCTCCAGAATCAAGGTCAGATAATTTAGAACCTCCGTATCTGGGAGAAATTTCACTGGAGGAAAATTCATAAGCGTTCCCACCTTAGGCAACTAGGCACTTTGCATTGTACACCTGTGGCTGGCACTTGAGTGTATTCATGTATACATTGGTTTTAGTTTAAACAGAATTTGATAACTCTTATATTTTAACTTGTTTGATATCTATTATTTGAATGTTTAGAGGTCCAGAAACTTGAAGTGTTTGTTTTATTACTGTTGACTTAGAACTTGCATAGCTGTTGAGCACTTTCTTTTAACCACACATTTATCTGTGTACAAGCTGCAAATTGCCATTTTCCACCAAGGCTTTCTGTAAATCTTGAGCCTTCGAAAATTGAATCATTTCTTTTGGAAACAGATTGGTGACTTTATGTTTTGGGACATAGTGGTACATACACACAGCAAGTAGTCACAAAGGCTGAATAAGAACGTATGCCTTTGTTTTTTTACTAGTGAAAGTTGCAGTGCTCAGAATTCCAGCAAGACTCCATGTTACAAGTAATAGGTAGTTCATGTAAGCATTTTTAATGCCCACAGTTTACCCTTCTTATCTTTGAATCTTGGAATTCTTAAACAGCCAGTTTGGACTTGCCTGACTCTGCAAAGGATTGTAATCTGCAAAGACCATACCAGAAGCAGAATCACCGTTGCATCTGGAGTGGATCTGCCCAAGCTGGCCTGCCAAACACTATCATTCATTCACTCCTGCTTTGTTGTGAAAGGGAGTCAGCACACAGTGAGCCCCATCTCCAAACTAGCACATTTGGCTGGAGGACTGGAAGGAATTCAGGCTGTAACAGAAGCTAATATCTTTGCGAAGCTGCATTTGCTAAACTAATTTCCTGGACATTTAAGTATGTGATCCTTCTCTACACAAGTGTATTGCTGCTCTCCATATATTAAAGAATGCTACACACAGGATTATAGGACTCCATTGTAATTGGCAGTTACTATGTTCTACAATTATAGGGTCAGTACAGGTTATGGCAGGAAAGAGTAGTACTCTTCTTTCTAGAGGAATCAAATGAAATGCGATCCCCAATTTTTAATTCTGATGGGTGGCCCAAATCCTTTGCATTTTCAAAGCTTTGGACAGGCTTTGAATTGCAGTCTTGAAATGTTGGGGTAATGGGAGCTGTGCTGTCAATTTTTCCTCTTGCTGTTCTGCAAATTAAAGAGAGGCCAGTCACAGAGGGGAAGTGGGATGGAAAGTCAACTGAGTACATCATGTGAAATTTAAATGAGTGAGATCTGACTTCTGTTTATTTACTCTGAAGCAAAACCATGTGTACCATCAAAGCAAGTATAGAACAAAGGTAGGCAGAAAGCAGGTACTGTTTCTAGGTATATGTATATGCTTGTGTGTATATATACACACATTGATGGAGACTGAATAAGGGGGAAAGTTTTACACAGAGTGATTAACAGACAGTGGAACAGTAGCAGATACCTTTTTTCTTTGACTGTTCTCACATGTTTTGGAAGTATTGCTGTAAATAAAACCTAGTCCATCTACTGTATGCCAAATATATGAATTATAACTAAAAATGGCCATACCATATACAGTGCTTCTTAGCTCTGGGACAAAAGCAGGAGGTGTCTTTGACCAGAACACCAGGCCAGAGGTGATGGAGAAAGGAGAACAAAGGCTTACTCAGGGAAGGGACAGACACTTGGTGGAATCAAGCAGGGCCAAAAGCAAAAACAGAGTTAAGAACAGGCAAGGGTCAGGTTTTAGCAAAAGCATGGCAAGATAAAGACAAAGACAGAATGAGGAACAGACAGGAGTAAGCCATAAGGGAAGATGTTGCAGGACTGGAGTCAAAAATACAAAGGCACCACCATCACAAAGATGGATGTTGTTGTGGCAAAGATAGGAAGACTGGGAAGGCCTTTAGATGTTCTCCTATGGCTCCCTCCTATGGTCTCTTCATGATTGATCGATTTATTTGATTTATATCCTGCCTTCTCTTCTCTTCTCTTCTCTTCTCTTCTCTTCTCTTCTCTTCTCTTCATGCAGAGCAACTTACATCATGTTCCTCTTCCTGTTCTCAATCTTATCCCCACAACCACAATCCTGGGAGTTAGGCTGGGCTGTGTCTGTGACTGGCCCAATGTCATCCAGTTCAGTTCAGTGGGTGAGCAGGGACTAGAACTCAAGTCACCTGAGTCCTAGACATGCACGCTTAACACACCACACTGGCCCTGGGCTGGTCCCAATCTTGCAGGTACTTTCAGGTCTGGTACTATAATCCTGCAGACTGTCTTCTCTGTCAGGCAGACAAAGGGAACTCCATTGCTCTGCAAATTATGACCATACTTCCTCTATTCCACAGAACTGTAAGAAGTAACTGATCCAGGGACTGGCCAAGTCAGTGGTTTTTAGAAGTGCTATTTGGCTTTTGCAATATAAATGAAAAGAGCAGGTGTCCCTTAATTTGGAATGTACAGTTTTTGTTAGATCCATCTTTATGTGTTTCATGGATGATCAAGTAACTGATAGAGACCTGTTCTCCCCTGCAGAGGAAGGCAAAACGTGCTCCAACGGAGCAAAGCTCAGGGAGCCAAGGTTTCGTTTGGATGCCAGGAAGCACTTCCTGACAGTCAGGACCCCGAGGGTGTGGAATGGGCTTCCACAAGAGGTCATTGAGGCCCCAGCGGTGCGGGTGTTCAAGGATAGGCTGGACGTCCACATGGTGGGCATGTCATGAGCCGGCTGGTGCCGGAGGTCAGACTAGATGGCCTGGGAGGCCCCTTCTGACTTGCTCTGTTTTCTATGTTTCTAAGTGTCTTTATCCACTCTTTGACAGAATCAGGTTTTTTAAAAGAAATATACAACACTTTCATTACACGTGTGCTTATACGCAGTAACACTAATGAGCATTAGCACAAATATGCATTCGTGCAAATCCCAAGTAAAAACTTTGTCTACAAGCCTGTAGAATTTGTGTGACTCTCTGTTGTTGTTAGTCATGAAGTCGTGTCCAACCCATCATGACCCCATGGACAACGTCCTCCACCATCCCCCGGAGTCCACTTAAGCTCATGCAGACTGCTTCAGTGACTCCATCCAGCCACCTCATCCTCTGCCGTCCCCTTTTTCTTTTGCCTTCAATTGTTCCCAGCATCAGGCTTTTCTCAAGTGAATCCTTCCTTCTCATTAGGTGGCCAAAGTATTTGAGTTTCATCTTCAGTATCTGGCCTTCTAAAGAGCAGTCAGGGTTGATCTCCTCTAGGACTGACCGGTTTGATTGCCTTGCGGTCCAAGGGACTCGCAGGAGTCTCCTCCAGCACCACAGTTCAAAGGCCTCAATTCTTTGGCGCTCAGCCTTCCTTATGGTCCAACTTTCACAGCCATACGTTGCAACTGGGAAAACCATAGCCTTGACTATATGCACTTTTGTCGGCAGGGTGATGTCTCTGCTTTTTAGTATGCTGTCTAGATTTGCCATAGCTTTCCTCCCCAGGAGCAAGCGTCTTTTAATTTCTTGGCTGCAGTCCCCGTCTGTGATGATCTTGGAGCCCAGGAATATAAAATCTGTCATGACCTCCATTTCTTCCCCATCTATTTGCCAGGAAGTGAGAGGACCGGATGCCATGAACTTAGTTTTCTTAATGTCGAGTTTCAAGCCAATTTTTGCACTCTCCTCCTTCACCCGCATCAAGAGGCTCTTTAGTTCCTCTTTACTTTCTGTCATTAGAGTGGATCATCTGCATATCTGAGGTTGTTGATATTTCTCCCAGCAATCTTAATTCCAGCTGGTGATTCATCTAGCCCCGCCTTTCTCATGATGTGCTCTGCATATAAGTTAAATAGGCAGGGCGACAGTATACAGCCTTGCCGAACTCCTTTCTCAGTTTTGAACCAGTCAGTGGTTC